GGAAACTTGTCCAATCCGATGATCTACCTGGCCCGTCTGGTGAAGTAGGCACTTCTGACTCAGAGGAAGATGAGTCATTGGCCTTTGCAAAGTCCTTATTCTTCAAGAACAAAGGCAAACAGGGAAAGTGCACAAGTACACCAAAGAGTGCTCCAAAGGATACACCAAAGAGTCGAAAAGATGGAAAGAAAGCAGCCAGAAAGAAGACCAAAGCAACAGCAATAGCAGATGAACTTACAGTGCTGTAGTTTATGGAAAGAGCGCGAGAGAGATGAGGCGTTTATGGAGCGAATGGCAGAAGTTGAGAGGGAAAGCAGAAGAGAACAACAAAAGTTTTCAATGGATGCATTAAAGACCTTAACTTGTTTTATAAGAATATTTTATTCGTTTCAGTTCATTGACCATGATTTCATGTGTTATGATTAATTTCAAGATCAAGATAACTATGTAGTAGGACAATGATTCCAGAAATGAAGAATATAAACAAGGTAAAATTACCGTTTATGCCAAAACATAATATATACCTGAGCAATTATTTAAAATTGATTTTGAAAAATACAATTGTCTGGTGATTAATTTTTTGAAATGAAATTAATATACACATACCAGAGAAAAGCGTAAGGCAACTTATACGAGTTTTTAAATACAAGAATAATTTGTTTTCAATGATTGAAAAAAAAATCTTACTCTGAACATCGGAAAGCTTTTATAACATTTTTAATTATACCTGTAACAAATGGAAAGGGACAAAATTTCAGACTATTTACATTGATCTCCAGTCAATCCACCTGTGTGTTTTCAATTTAAACCAGAACATTCCAATAAAAATAATAAATTTGGTTCAATGTTTGTACTATGACAAATGGTCCGTTATATCATCTCCAATGTTCCTTGCGCAAAGCTGCTCGTCTCCATTGAAAAACTTTGATCCATTTCATCGTCATCCTCAATGGGGTCTACAGTGCTCGGATCTCCAACATCTATACAAATATTGTGAAGGACACAACAAGCCATGATAGTGGTGGGGACTCTGCTTGTTTTTTCCTCCAACAGTTTACAGAGACACCTCCAACAACCTTTCAAAATTCCGAAGGCTTGTTCTATAACAACCCAGGCCTGACTGAGGGCACAATTGAAACGTAATTGGCTCTCAGTTAATGTTGGTGTTCACTTAAACGGCTTCATCAGCCAAACAGACAAAGGATACGCTGAGTCCCCTACCAGAAGAGGTCCAACTTCAGAACCCCGAATTCTCTTTGAAGGTGCGTTTAGCCAGGTACCTTGATCAATTTCTCTCTGCAGTTTGCTGAAATGGAGAATACAGGCGTTGTGAATGCTACCGGGGTAGCCCGTACTCACATCAAGAAATTTAAAAGATGCATCAGCAACACCTTGGATCACAATAGAATAATCTTGCTTTCGATTGAAGTATTCAATCCGTTCGTTGACAGGCACTGTTTTTAATGCAATATGACTACCGTCAATTGCTCCTACCACTTGCAGGAACAGGGACTTGTTTGTGAACAAGCGAATGCTTTGCAGCACGTCTTGCTCAGTCTCTGGAAATTTAATAAATTCTGTGGCCCATTTGGCAATTGCTTCACAAAAATCATGTGTTATCAACATAGCTGTACACCTTCCAATGCCAAATTGCAGCCCAGTCAATCTATACGTGTCTCCAGTAGCTAGGCGCCATAACACTACCGCCACTCGCTTGTTTACATTTATATATTGGTGCAATTTCGTGTCTCTCTTCGTCTAATCCGGGCCAACCACTCGAACAATGTACTCAAATGTACACTTTCATATCCTGAAATTTTCTTTCCACCAATCTCCCATGAAATCTCCTTGCAAAAGGCTCTCAAACCAGAACTGATTTCACGGCCACGCCCATGTACATCTAGCTCGTCTGGTATTTTTTAAAGCAATTTGGACTAAGGTGTTGTAACATCAACATCTTACAAAATCTTGACATTTCTGTTTGCAGCTCTTGAATTAAGAAATAAAAAGCAGTGGCCATGAAAGCCACCAGTTTACTTCTTGAAGCGAGCATGGTTTTAGAATTTCCCGCCAATTTGATTTCATGACGTAGATAATGGAGCTAGCGGGAGTGTTTGTTGACAAATCAACTTGAGTTATTTGAGCCAGTGTAAACACTGGACGAATGTACTAAGGTTAAGTAACTTGACCTTAGTAAATTTTTACCTTGGTAAAAGCTCAAATGTAAACACAGCATAAGATACTGTTATGTCATTCTTGATGGTAGTATCTTTATGTGTGTACATGCTGTATGTTCAGTGCTTAGGGCCGGGTTGCACTACTGTGAAAATCCTAATTTGGACGGACCAAAAATTTCAAAAATTTGAAACTGCAAACGGAAGAGCCAAAATTGTAATAAATTTGTTTGGGTCGCATATGTGAAGTTCATTTGTGGTAAAGTAATCTGATAACTTGATCAGATTTCATATTTCCCGCAAACTGTCCATAAACATGGACCAAAACAGATCATCGGCATTTGCTTCACTATTGCAGTTTTTCTTCTTCAGATTATTAGCATCCAGCAGCAGCAAGTGTTTGCTTTTTTTATACTGTATCAGAGATGGGTGTTTGAATACAGGACACTCTAGAATGTTGCCAAGTTAAGGAGAAGAAGAAGACGCTTGCGTAGAATGCATGTTGCACCCTACACATGGACTCTTCCGCAACCTGCAGATTCATGGTTCGACATCCACTACAACGATCCCTTAATTCCAAAGGAATACTTTAGTAGATATCAACAGCATGATTTCATTATCCAGGCTGTTGTTGCTGGCCAAAATATATTTCTTGATTTTGCTTGTAGATTTCCCAGAAGCATGCACAACGCTCGTGTTTTATGGCGCAGTACGTTGTTTAGGAGAGCAGAACACTGGGATATTCTTACGGCACCAGCAACGCTTATCAATGGCTGTGAAATGGGTCCTTATCTACTAGGGGATAGTGCCTACCCTCTCTGCCCTTGGTTAATGAAGCCTTACCCTGAAGGCACAAGGGATCCTGATGAATTCAACTTTAACAGGCAGCTTTCTTCTGCCAGAGTTAAAGTTCAATGCGCCTTTGGTGTTCTTAAAAGTCGGTGGAGAATTCTTCAAAAGCGCTTTGACAGTAGCATCGACTTTGCAGTAAAAAATGCAATTGCCTGCAGTGTGCTACACAACATTTGTATCAGAAATCGTGATGAATGGGAAGAAGATGATGGAGATGATGATCCACATCCCGATAATCCTGCGCCCAATGTTATGCGTGACATGGATGACATGAGAGAATTTCTCAAAGACTATATTGCCTAAAATGACAACTCTATGCTTATCCTGGCTGTTGGACTTTGACATTTATTTCAAGACTTAGAACTCACAATAGCTTTCTAGACATGCAATATATGTATTGAGTTCAAATTGATCATGTTCACCGCACATTTAAGCAAAGATATATAACTTCTTGTTATTGAAATCCCAGACGTGGGGTTTTAACTGTAAGAACATTTTCAAAGGTGTATCACGTAAAAACACTCTTACACCATCAGCATACAATGGTCTTCCATTTAGATTGTTATTGTTTTTGTAGAAAATTAGTGAGAGCTCTGACAAGAGCATCCATGGTAGCTAGTTGCTGCTCATGGTTCCTATTAAAATTATCAATAAAGGTGCTCATTTCACCTCGTTGTGCTTCCAGCCCTGAGAGAGCATTTTTAAAGAACTTCCATTCCTCGTC